AAGTCTTATACAATTTTAGTTACTAAGCCTAAATCTGATTCTCTTTGAAAAACATCTTCATTAAGTTTTTCAGGCATTTTTTGCACAGAGTCTTCTAATAAAATCTTTTCTTGATCATGAACAATATTCACAGTTTTGTGTTACTTTCATTTTTATCATAATTTCTTAGAGAAGTTTCTGTAACATATGATAAGTCAGAAGGGACAATTGACTCACGCTGAATTTTCTTCTTTTTGTTATATTGCTTTATTTTATCACTAACCTTTTTCTTATATAACTTATCCAAGAAATCATCCGTCTCTTTATCCTCCAATGACTTAGTTTCTATGCAAATAGGTTTACATATATTAGAATTAAATGTGCTATCAGATATATTTGATGGCTTTGCAATCTTTTCTAGTTTATCCAAGTGAACAACATTGTTGGGATTCTCGACAGAGCTGATATTGGTCGATGATTATTTGATTTTCTTGATATCATTATCTATTTTGGCAATAAGGTTGGTCTTTTCTTTATCTTTTTGCTCTAGTCTTGTGAATCTAGTTTCATATTCTTTCAAAGCATACCTTAACTTTGCATTCTCAGCCTTGATCTCTATATTCTCATCTATAACCTTGATATATTTGGTCTTAACTTCAACATTCTTAGCCTCAAGCTCAATGATGCGTTGTCTCAATGAATTAAGTTCAAATGACATGATAATATTTTAATGCTCTATAATGCTAGTATTCAAAATCAGAAAAATATATAGGCTATTTTGGCTAATCGTGAATATTATTCACGGGTTTGCCAAGAATTTTTTCAGAAAAATGCCAAGAAAATTTTACATGATCTGCTTATAATGTAAAAAAATCTAATTAATAATCATACAATATACCTCTCAACCCACTCTAGACTAGCTAGATTATTCAGATTCTAATTTAGTTTTAGAGTTAGAAGATTCTGAATTGGATCAATAATCTTCATCAAAATCGATATGAATATTTGGATTTAGCTAGTCTATGACTTTTTTGCTAATAATTTCATACCTATCCAAAGCTAGAAATTTTATATTGAAACATGAGCGAGCAATTTCTTTGATAGTCATACTGGTAATATTACAGCAACTAAGGTTAAGATATTAGAGCTTTGGACAGGAACATATAATATTATAAATTGATGGTTCACTAACAAAATCACAATAATCCAGATTGAGATATTTTAATTTATGACAAGTATGAGCTAGTGCTTCAGTAACCTTATTACTAATATCATTATAATCGATCTCTAAATGTCTTAAATCCTGAGATGCTTTGATGATAGCTACAATTAATGCATCATTACGAAAAGCCATAATACTAGCAAAGTCAAGATACTCTATACTGAGACATCTCTGTATTAACATACTAGCATCTTTGACATCCCTCTTACTATATGAAATATCAAGATTTCGTAAATTTAGGCATGAGTTTAAGATGCAACTTATAGATTTATCTGTGATCTGATGTACTTTGGTAAAATAGAACTCTTACAAATCATGACAATTTTCTGTGATCACAAATAAAGATTTATCGCTAATATTTTCGCAATTAGAAATATTTAGATGTTTTAATTTACGATATGATTCTATGATTACACATAAGCCTTTATCGATTATTGCTTCAGCATCTCACAAATTGAGATGTCTTAAATTAAGATATGATTCCGCTATTATAAATAGTGATCTATCACCAAAATCTATACTATTTTTAAAATCTAAATGAATTATATTTGAAAATGTATCTACAATACTTTTTATTTTTTTATCTGAAAGTAAATGGTAATAAGTAAGTTCTAGATGAGTTACATTTGAGGCATAAGCTAGTTTATTTTTTCTGCACATTATTTTTACAAAATTTTCCAATTGAAAACAATTCTTAACATTATAGCTATACCTCTAGTTATTCCTCTTTAGCTCAATGCGTCTTTATAGAATAGGAGTACTGCATCTATACCACAATCAGAAAATAAATAGAGTGGAATATAGTGACTTATCTATTAGTGAGATACCATATGTAATATAATTATATCACATGTGGTATCCTACTTGCCCTAGATTATAGTATCACATGTAATCTAAATATCACATATAATCTAAATACCGCATGTAATTTAAATATTACATATAATCTGAATACTGCATATGATCTAAATATTACATATAATCTGAATACTATATACAATCTAAATGATGTGATCTAATTACCACATATAATCTAAATAATACGGTCTAAATACCACATATAATCTAACATTTTATTATTTCTTATACCATTTTTACATTCTAGCTATGTCTTTAAGTCTTTCTTGATATTTGTGTTTTTTATGTTAATATACTTTTATTATCACAATATAATCTAATTACTATACACATATAATCTAAATACCACACTTTTCTTCTTGTTTTTGAATTGTTTATATGCTAAATTTTATAATGCTATTGTCGACCTTCTGTAGCTGTTTGAATACCTAGTTTTATGTCGAGGTGTTGAGCTTCTGCATCTGATTGGGTGCTAGATTCTATATTAGAGTACTTACCCTTTACGCCTATTTGGTTGCCTTTCTAGATACCGAAATAGAGTAAAAAAAGGTGTCAGGTAGCGCAGTAATTCGATCTAGATCTGCAATTAATTTTGGCTGGACACTATGTCATAATTCTGGCCGATCTTTTGGGTATGTAATTTGAGAATCCAGCCTAGCACCATAGTAGTGACCTGGTAGCTATCATGAAACTGTCATGGAACTGTCATAGAACTGGTAGTTTGCCAGCTTGGATGCTGAATTGTTATATCTAAGTATCTGGTTGAAATTGTAAAATAATGCTAGCCGGTACTGCGCCAGTCACGTGACTTTCACTGACCTGCGGGTCAGAGAATTCGAAATGCAAATATAAATATATCACATCTTGTCCTATAAAAAATCATCAAAGAAGATACCAGAAGTACTTTGTTAAGTTTTTTTTATCGTTCCTATAAAAATTTTCTATCCCTATAAGAAAAATTCTTGAGGACGCTCTTAGGGATAATCTTGATATCATTTTTGGGCTTCTTAATGCCTCTAGTAAAAATAAAGTTATAGGAAAAAAATATCGAATCCATCCTATATGTATGTCGTTACCAAGAAAATTTGTTAGTGACGCTCTTAGTGACACTCCTGTATACTTTTTTTGAAGTTTAAGGACATTTGGTTGTCTTCCTTTATATATGTTACTATATCACTAAGAGTCACTAAGAAAAAGTAAAGTTCTAGAAAAAAAATCGAATTTTCTATGGGTATCAGTATGGTATATCTATCGGTATGCTATATATATATATATATGTTATATGTATGCTATATTTTTACTATATCTATAGATAAAAAAAAATAAAAAGTAAAGTAGTCTGATTTTTTTAGTGACTCTTAGTGGCATGGTGACACCCATCTAGAAACCTTTTGATGGCTCTAAAAATATGAAATAGCTATAAATTTTGTTACTAAGAGCATCACCAAGAGCGTTACTAAGAAATTTCAGCGAACCGAGTTCGTCCAAAAGGCCATGGGGATAGTGACAACTTTTTATTCTTGTTTAAGTTCTTTCGATTAACCTAAAATTACTTGAGCGGAATCTCTTTAGGACTATCAACTTGCTTAGCCAACTTTTTCTGATGGTAATGTTCTTTTAATCTATGTTTTTTTGCATGCGTATCGCAATAGTCATATTTGAATCTTGTCATCTCTTTACATCTGCTTTCTTTGCAAGCAACTTGCCTAGAATCCCGATGGACTTTACATCCTTTTGGATTATAGCATCTCTGATTACACACTTTGCTAGTCTTAAGAATATATGGACAATAATAAAAATTACAGAATATCACCTTTTTTCCGCCTCCCATTTATGTATATCGATTAATAATCTTAGATAATTAATTTCATTTTAAACTTTTTTTTTGCGAATAATATACCTTGAGATTTGGTATAACTATAAATTATCGTAAATTGCTTGAGAAAAAAAATGCCTAAACAATCCAAGCTTTCAGAGTTCCTCAACGCGCCTCTGCCCTTTTTCACCCAGAGGCCGAAAAAGATAAAATGATAGGCCAGGTGATCAGATATTCTAGCAAAAATTACTTGATGAACATCCCAACTCGTGATAGTTTAGTTCTTAGAAACGATGAGGGGTCAACTTCAACTTTTAATAACGAAATAGCGAATCATCGAGATATTCCATTCATGCCAGTCAATATAGAAGAAGCTAAAGAATATATTAATAATATCCCTTATTATATTCTTCGCCTTTATGGGTACCTTGTTAATGGTCAGAAAGCAGTTGTTGTCATTACTGGCATCAAGGTATTTTTTGATATTCGTGTTCCTAACAATGCAAGTATTCCTAAATTCTGGTACAAAATAAAAAGTATACTTTCTACCAGAAAAGATAGTAGAGGGAATACTGTGAACATGAATCTAATCCAGATAAAATGTATAAAGGCATATCCTATTCGTGGTTACTATGCAGAAAAAAAGCCATATCTCCGTATTGTCACATCTAATAGAGACGAAAGGTTTACTGCTCTCAATATCATCTCAAACTATAATTCAAAGGTTGATCTCAAATCTAAAATAGAGACAGCTTTAAACGATACAGGTACATATTATCATAAAGTTGCAAGAGAGTATCAGATACCACTTTCTAGCTGGAGATTGATAAGTGATTATAGATATAATTTCAGAGCACCATATTATGCGAAATCCCATCATTGCCCACATGCGTTTTATGTTCAGATTAATAACTTTTATTCTATAGAGAATTTTGAACCACTTTACGAAATCTATCCATCTTCTCTCTTTACCCGTGATTGAGCATTGATTCTAACATGAGATATAGAAACATATGATTCATGTGGATCAGAAAACTTCTCAGAAGCGAAGAATGATATGTTTCAAGTTTTTACAATCTGCATGACCCTGCACTGGAAAGACAATCCAATTCTTCTAGAGAGGATATGTTTAGTCGATGTAGAAATAAAACCAAACCCATGTTGGATTACAATCATATGCGGGAATCAGATGAATCTCTTAAAGGTATTCGCTCTATGTTGAAAATCTTTTGCCTCAGACATTTAGCTCCATTTTAACGATTTAGGATACGATTGCCTTTCATTGTAGAAAAGGTCACCAAATTAAATGTTTTTGAGTGGATAGTTCAGCGGATGTTAGCAAACCCATATAAAAAAGCTGATGCTGAATCTATTCTCACTTGGAATTATTTTAGTGAGAAAGGAAAGCCACTAACTAATGGTTTCTTCCAAAGGGACCAGTACGTAAAGAAAGAGGATAGAGATTCCAAAAAAACGTTAGGATGAGAATCCATCAATATTAAAATCAATCCCTCTTTGACTTTTGAATCCTCCTTTCTTAAACTTCTGGGGTGTGTACTGATCGATATTTGTACGAGTTTCTTACAACTCCACCCCCGCTCTGAGAAATGATCACTCAGATATTTCTTAGAAAAATATGGTCTTGATAGTAAAACCGATATGCCTATGAGTAAATTATGGAAGTATTATTCAAAAGTGAAAGACAGGGCTTCTGACTCTTCCAAAAAACATATGTATGAAATCGTAAATTATTGTATTATAGATGCTTTACGTTGTCAGGAGCTCATGGTCAAATCTAATGCTATAAATGATTACAGAGAGGTAGCCTCAATCGCTCATATATCATTATTCGACTCACATTATTATGCTATAGGAACGAAAGTATCCAATCTCTTAAGTGCTGAAGCTTGGGCGCAGGATATTCTATACATCACGAAAATTTCCAATCAGAAAGCATCTGGGAAGTTTCCAGGAGTGTATGTGTTTCCGCTAGAGAAAAGTCTTGAAAATAAATGTCCCATCATAGGTTTAGACTTCGCTTCCTTATATCCTAGCATAATCATGACCTACAACCTCTCACCTGAGAAGATGGTCTCAACACTTTCAGGAGCAGATAAACTAAAGAGAAAGAATAAAGTGCTTCACAGTATCAAGTTCAAGTATGGTAATAAACCTGTACGAGCCTAGACCATACGGCATGGGAATAAATCCGATCAGAAGGATTTATTTCCAAAAATATTAAAAAATCTGCTCAATATACGAAATGAACTAAAGGCCTGGCTAAAACCTCTTGGATAGAAAAAGGAATATATGGGATTAGTTAAAAGTAGAATGGATGCTGACGGATCTATCTCAATAGCAAATGCAATTGAAGATGTTTGTTCGTAAAGCGAACCTAAGAAACGTACCAAAATAGCCAGCATCCTGAATCCTTTCATTGGTTCGTTATATGATAATTTTAGGAAAGAATATGATTCTATCTGCTTCAATTATAATTCTCTAAATTTGAAGCAGAAAGCTATTAAATTGTATATGAATTTGTTCTATAGTGTAACTGGCCAAAGTGATTCCCCATTTTATATACTTGAACTTGCCGGAGGTGTTACTTCAGCTGGACAAGAAAATATCAAACTTATTGCAGAATTCGTGAAAAAGAAAGGTTTTGGGATAAAATATGGTGATACCGATTCCCTATATCTTACTTGCCTAGATTTCTATTATAAGAAATGCGATTTGGTCTATAATAGTGGGAAAGGCACAATCTCAAAACTAGAGTACTGGACTAAGATAGTCAAGATCACTATAAGCGCAATGGAAAAATTGCACAACGAAGTAAACGGCTTTTTTAAGCTAAAAACAAGATTGGACTATCTTAAGATGGCTTATGAAGAAGTGCTATTTCTGGTGGTCTTCAATGGGAAGAAAAAATATTTCAGCACCAAGCATAAAGATGCAGTAAACTTCAGTCTGAAGGATCCTTTCATAAGAGGAATTGATATTATGAAACAGGGCAAATCCCAGCTTTTTAAAACCATAGGTAAGCGGATTATGAGTAAAGTCAGAGATATCAATAATGAGCGTTCTCTCCATAAAATTGTTGAGGATGTTCTCAGGAATGCTATAATCAATCCTAACCAATAGAGTTTTAAGCAGTTTGTAAAGACTGATACATGAAAATCCGATAAAGACAACAAAGCCGTTTAGCGATTTATTGGATGAATGCAAGGGAAATATGATAGTAGAATTCCAATATCAGATGGATGCTTTAGTTATATAGTGGCCCACTCTGAAACCACTTTCGATTTGCATGGCAGAAAGTTAAAACCAACTAAAGGCGAAAAAATGGAATTCGCCGATGTAGCTAAGGAATTGGGAAAGGAACTAGATTTATACCATTATTTTGAAAAAATTATTATTGGCCTCTATGCCCGATTTATCATATATCATAAGAAGTATGAGCTATAACCCTCAAGTCAAATCATGCGAATCGAAAACCCAGATGAGAAATATAAGCAAATTGATGATTACGCTCAAAACAAGACCAAGTCATGGCTTGAGGGATTCATAAAAGAAAATATCATAGTCAATGGTATTACTTCTAAGATGATAGAATCTCGTGGGATTACTTATAAGCGTGCTTACAGAACTGCGGTCAAAAAGGCATAAAAAATGTTATATAATAAGATAGGGTACTTATACGAAATATTTCATGGCGAATGACTTAGCTACAAGATTTTTATGGGAAGTAATCCTATTGAGATATTATGGGAGAGATTCATGAAATGTGCTAGGAAACTTACAAAAGATAAAAACCTCTCAGTAGATGGCGAAATAAAGGAAAAAATATGTTCTGATATTGCTCGATATTCTAGTGAGCTTGCAAAATGTATTGAAAGGTATAATTTATTCTTTCACAAATTGGTCTATCATATGCATTATAAAGAGCATATGTCTATACCAGAAAAAATTGGCCCAGTCTCGTCTATGCAAAAAAATGAGATAATTACTGACTTACCAGCCTTATCTCACATATCAGAAATTGAGACGCTAGATAACATTATTAATTTATGGTATTTCCATCTTGAAGGTGTGGTCGAGCCGGAGGTGTTAAAGCAAAGCACTTAAATGAATTATATAGATAGTACTCTTAGCCGAAATTCTCACAATCCGCTAAGAGAACTTATACAATATTATTTATATTTTTTTATCTCATGTAATAATACTGGCTAACTTCAATTCCTATCTTCGAACTTCAGCGACAAGCGCGCCTAGGATGATCACTCTAATATTTTGATCTCTAATCATATATCCCGACCTCAGATATGCCCAAAGATAATCATTAGTATTTTGCATATCAAAGTTTACGATCAGCTAAAAATCTGCATATTTTAAAGATAAGCTTTATTAGTATAATGGCTGAACTACGCGACTAAGTTTTTCAGTACATAGGCTTTGAACCTAACAAAATTCATCTTCTGATCATAGAAGAGAACAAGCAGGTATTTCGTAAAATAATAGTGGATCAGAAGAAAATGACGGATATTGTAATAGATGACTATCGATTTTTACTACAGCATGGGCATAATGGTAAGAGAGGTGAGTTCATTCATATTGGATGGTTAATAGCATATACAGTGATCCAAGCTAAAAAAGTCTTAATAAATCTGCCTGAGCGTTAAGCTGAAAGAGATTTATCAGAAAAGGTATTAGCTCATATCCAAAAAAGATTCAAAAAGTCCCATTAGCGCTAGTATTTATACAGTAGTCGATTAGGATTTGAGATAATAAATGTCTGGCCTATTTATATATTTTTTGTGGGTAGAATATTGGTCATTTTTTTTTCTTTCAGCCTCCGATTGTATAGCCAACCTTTGGAGATGCCAATCTCTAGCCTGAATATATTGCTCAGCTTTTCTTGTGTATTCTGTAACTTTTTCACAATAATAAACCACATAATTGCGATCAGGAGAAAAAGTATTATTGAAAAGAGAAGTATATATGGCAATAATTTATCAAGACCAGTTTTCAAATCCACGCTACTCTTCTCCTGCAAAGCAGTATCTGTAGTGCCTATAAGTGAAGAAGCGCCAGAGGGTCTCAAAGAGACTGAGCCTCCCAGCCCACCATGTTTTTCGCCACCACTTTTTACATGTGAATCTGACCGATTAGAGTATTCTGGGACCAATAGATTAATCACAGACTGAAGCGATTTTACTTTCTCTGATTTTGCAAAGTTATCGGCTTTGGCTTTGGCAAGAGATATTTCTGTACAAGCATTCTAGAAGACGAGCTTGAAGTTTTCAACCTTCAACCGCCTATTCTCATCATTAAGATTTATATATTTGTTCCGCAACTTAGCATTATAGCCTCGAATTTTGGATGAGTCTTGCAAGATGTGGTATATTTCCTTTTCAAGATCATACGTTCCCATTTATTTACATTGGCCATAAACTGTAAAAAAACTTTTCATATTTTTTGTTAGAGAACAATTACGATAAATATAGAATGAATAGGAAGGATATCGATCATTTTTTATTATTAATTACAGATAGTGAATTAGAATGTATTTTATCTATCTAAAACAATAAATTATATATTTTAAGGTTTTCTCTTATCCTGAATCCATAAATATTGAATTTTAATATTTATTATCCATCTAAAATGATAAATATTAATGCCTAATGTTTTTTATACATCTAAATACATTGTCTAAAAAAATTGGAGGGGCATGTCTACCTCAATTTTGAAAACTTATTATCGGTGAAGTGCCACAGTCTTGACACCTAAGCAGATCAAAGAAATTAGACATCTTAAAAATAAAGTTCCAGCATATATGATAGTAAAGGAGTACGATATTAATAAAAATCGTATTCATGATATATGGAATGATTGTGAGCGTTTACAGCAAAATGGAAACCACTTTCTCAAAGAGCTTAAAAAGGTACAATCCACCTCATCAGTCCCCTCTTCAGAGAATAATCCTCAAAAAAAAGAAAATAATCATCCAATTTTAGGATCTTCAAATGGTCCCTTTGTTTTAGTGCCTTCGGCTAGGACCAGTTCATTTCATGAGACTATTGAGATGAATGTGCAAGAAAAACAAAAAAAGAAAAAGAAACTACCGAAGTGGTCCTTTAGAATCAGCCCAAAACTATTCAAAGTTCTGATTTACCTGAGATTTTGGCCAGGGGTCTTTACCAAAACTCCGCCCTAGACATCTCGCATGATATATTAGCTTCAATCGAAAAGGATCGTATAGAGTCAGAGAAAGCTATACGCGAATCAGAAAAGTTCCTAGCTCTCAACTCACCTTTTCATTATATTCAGATAAAAATACTTCGCAGGGTCTCACTGAGACCATCCGCTAAGTCAGGGTGTATAGTTAGCAAGAAAAAAGGGATTGTAGATTTTTATTAATCTCAATTAATCTAGCTTTGGAGATAAGAGTATCATATAGCAGTTTTTCAAGCTCTTCATAACTCATGCGTTTTTTTAAATGTATTATCCTCACCTAAGTCCTGCGAAATACAGTCCAGAGTTGACAGATCATTACATTCAGAAGTAGTGGTCACACAATTCACCTCAAGCTTGTTCTTGACCTTATGCATAGTGACTGGAATAATATAGTCCTTCCTATTAAGAGGGATCTTTAGCTCATTTGTATTCCAATCTACTGCACATCCATATTTCTTTAGGAGTTGATTAGAAAATATTAGTGTTGGCTTATGATAATCCACAACTACAAAATCTTCATGAATGGTGCACCCAGGAGCTAGAATAATAGGCAGATTGCGGATAATACCAATAGATTCAATCAGGACAGTAGCTACACCGCTAAGGTCATATTTTTCAGATTTATCTATTTTGTCCTTAATACGATCAACAGTATTTTTCGTTATAATTAGAGGCTCAGCTTCAGAGTCTAGAGTCATGGCTGGAATCTTCAAGCGTCTGATTTTGCACTTTATAGTGGTAATACTAGTTTTCAGCTCCTTTTTCTTGATAAAGTCGATCTCTATAGGATTATCTAAAGACTTCTCTTTCAGACTGGACTCATCCGAATCTTTTGAAGATGATGATACATCATTTTGGGATACTATCTTTGCCTCCGTAGAAGTCACTATCTGTTTGGACGCAATGAGACCAGAATCTTGAAAAAAATGTGGGGGGAAGATTAGTTTAAGCTCACTATGAAGGACTTTACGAATAGTCTCCTCTAGTGGTATTTCTCTCAGCTTAGCACTAGACATCTCTTTAGAGGATAATTTCTCGGATTCACTCTCCTTCTTCACTTTTTTTTGACTTAGCTATATGAACATTAAGATCACCATCAGAATCGGAAGAATCGGAGAAACTTGTATCAGAGTCAGAACTATCGCTAGATGAAGTACTGTCTGAAGAAGAATCTGAGTCTGGTTCTATAGCGAGATTGACCTTACCTTTCTTCGACTTCTTGCTTTTCTTTTTCTTCTTTACAGAACACTTACGGGAAGTATGTCTAAATCTATTACACTTAGTACATTTCTTAACAGTACTTCTAATAGCAGATTTGATAGCATTTATTGTAGCTTTATTTAGTGTCATGCTGGCCATACTGTCAGTAATATCATCCACACATATGGGCTGATTGTGCTCATTTTACTAAGTAAATTTTTGTGATGTTTGTGATTTGTATAACTAAATTCTGATTTTATACCACTAAATGCGTAATAATTCAAACTTTAAACCAATCGCTTTTTTGAATAATAAATTTTTTACGTTGAAATTGCGCGTTTGCAAATTAGTTGTAAATTAGTTTGAAAAGGCTCATTGTGAAATTAAGAAATATTACAAAGAAATTGTTTTTATGATTTTTTATTGCTTATATTTTCAACAAACAAATTTTAATAGAAAAATAAAAAAATCGCCTTATGGTAAATATATTTTCTTTTAAAAAAATATATATTAGGAGTTTATTAATAATTTAAGTATTAATACATTCAAATAGACAAGCAGAATTTTTTATGAGGATTATCCTAGTAATCCTTATATATATGCTCAGTATACTAGTAGCAGCAGGGTTTTTCACTCAAAATACAAAGTAATAGCTTTTGGATATTATCCACCAACTGTCAAATTCACGCAAAAAAGTAAACATGATATCCAATATCAAATTCCTGATGAATATATTATTATTACAGAAGTTGCTAACCAAATGATACGTTGTGAAACAAAGTACACGCTCGCAAATAAGATTTTATATACTATTATATGGAAAGAAGGCCGAGCAGAATGGATGGTATCTAGTGAACGATCTGCAAGTGGTGCTGTGAATGCGTTTTTAAAGGTATTTTTGTTTATAATACATGATTTGTATTTTTTGTGTATTTTGCTATATACTTATATTTTTATAATTAATTTTTATAAAAAATATATAGAAAACTAATCGGGAAAAATCTAAATGTTCTGAAATACACATTTTCGGATTTGATATTGAAATATTACACCAAGTAAGAATTGAACAATCCAGGAAATCATCAGTTGACAATGTTGTTATTGATAAAAGAAAAAGGCCACTTAATGAAGTACAATCAGTATCACAACAAAATAAACGATATGCATCATTTGGAAAGGAGACACACCAAAAAATTAAACAGCTTGTTTTAAAACACCAAATGGTTTCAGATTTTGGAAATCCAATTTGTATATATAATATGGAACTAGGATATGAAAATCAAGTTATTAATATAAAATACAATTCAATAATAGATAACGTAAGATTAGATGCTTATATATATGCTTGTGATGAAGCTTTATTAGGCCGTGATGGATATTGAAGACTTGCTGCTGTAGAAATACGATTAATACGTGAATATCAAATTGCACAAAGACGAATAGAAATTACCAAGTTAATAAATGACAAAATACATATTGGAATATTTAACCTTGACAAAGAACTTACTTAGCAGCCTATACTTGATGATTATGAATTTCAAGAAAATTCTGATGGAATTTTAGTTGATGAACAAGAAATTGGTAATGGTATATATAGATCAATTCGATCTCTTCTTAAAATATTTATTCCTATTTGGAGTAAATCAGTTCTTCAGCTAGGAGATACGATCAATCTAAAACTTGGTGGAGATGGGCGGAATGTAGGTTGCAAACAAAATCATGTCATGATAACTGTTTACTTATTAAATGAAAAGGACGAAGTATTAAAACCAGATCATCAGTATTGGTAATATTAATTTATCATATTTTTTATAGAAACTATTAAATAATAAAAAAATAGTATCTGTCTTTATGTAGGCAAAGAAAAATGATACATTAGTCAAAGTTGGACGCTTATTTAAATATCAACTTCAGGATCTTCAGGAAAACGGAATTTATGATGATAATGGTATACATTGGCCAATTGAATTTTTTTTTTCCGGTGATTAGAAGTTCATATATAATATAATGGGACTAAATGCTCCAAATGCAAAATATTTTTGCCTATATTGTAATTGTGAAGCCAGTGAACGTTGGAACATGGATCTACAATGGCCAATTAATGAAAATACTAAATATAAGTTTTAAAATTTTATGTATAATTTATTAAATTAATGTACTTACAATTTTTAAATAGACAAAAAAAAACCGACATTATTCCCTGCTATTAAACAAGAAAATTACATTCCAGATGAGTTACATTTATTATTACGTATTTCTGATATACTAATAGAATGTGGAAGATTATTTTGTAATGCAAATATTTGTGCCTGCAAAATTAAAATATTTTGGCACTCGGCATAGGTCTTATTTTTCTATTTCTCATATCGCTCATAGAGCCTGTCCTGATTATATTCTAATAAACCTATATCCCCTCTACTCCGCTGTAGATGGTGAGTATTTCGCTGATATAGTAATTATAAGGCAAATTTTTCTTGCAGTAATACACCTATACGGATTCGCTTTCCTGTTATATTGTCTAACATTCAGTTTACCTGATTTTGAGCATTAGTCCATAACTGATGAAGATCACCAATAACTCTCTGTTCCACCTCTTCAACAAGTTGCCTTTGTATAATTTCATTATCATGCTCAACCTCTGCATCATATCGCCTTCTCTGCTCACGGACTAAATCCTGATGCAAGTTATTCTCTTTTCAGCGTATCTGTCTTGTCGTCCTTTTTATTTGATCTATTAGAATATCCCTGGCCGTTGTCCTATTTTTCAGAAAACCATCTATAGCATTTGCTAGCTCTGTGATGGTAGCCATTTCTATGTTAATATTAGGATTATACAAATCTGGAGAATTACCTCGTTCTGGTGAATTTTTCCGTGATAAAATGGTCTTAATTCGACATTGCAATTTCTTTACCTGCTCCTCAGATTCTACTAACTGCGCTTCTAAGCTAGAGATATATTTTTCCTTATCTCGGTCATCTTTTCTAGCTTGATATAGCTGATTTTTTAGGTTGGAGATTTCGGATTTCAACTCTGCTATCTCTTCTTCTGAGGCATGCTCAAGACGCTCTATTTCTTTATTGAGGTTTTGGACTTCTTGCTCACATCAATCATATTCACATTTCAATTTTCTAATCCTTCCTGTATGTTGATTATTACTATCAATCTCTGACTGTAATACTTTTCAAAGATGATAGTTATCATCCTCCAATTCGGCTTTATGTTCTTCACATGTTTTTCTCTGTCTCAGATGAGGCCTCTGAAATGCCATTCTTTTTTGTGATTATAAAAGAGAATCGGAATGAGCCAACCCCAAATTTTGATAGACCCTGATGAGGCTCAGAGAATTGAAAAAAACATCATATTGTGAGGAATATATTATTGCCTGACTGGCTATCATTTTAACCTAAATCTTCAAGAAATGCATGTAAAAAAAAAGGGCATCGATTCCGCCTAAGTGAATATAAAGATTTTTTAGAAAATCAAGAGTCATACTAAACAAATAAGACCTCTCCAAAATACATCCCTAGAGTCAGCTATAGGCGAATAACATGCCCTAACTGTGTACACCAGTGTGATATACTATTTCTCACTCATGATTACTATAGAGGTAAAAAATATAAAGCAGTACTTAACATTATAGACTTCACTTTCTGATATAAAGCTTCTGTTCCACTCACATCGAAGAATAGCTTAGAAGTTGCTAAGGCATTTAGGAAAGTATATGGTGATCGAAACAATCTATTGACATAGCCGAAGCTCTTATAATGTAATAATGGGAGAGAATGGATGGAAGAGACTTCCCGTCTAATGCAAGATCACGATGTTACAATTCGGGTAATTGGCCCATATAGCCACTGTAGAACTGCAATTGTAGAGCGTTTCAACCAAACGTTCTCAAAAATTCTATATAAGATCCAATATGCTATTGAGTCTATATCATCCGATCCTGGATTAATGAAAGCATGGGTTAGGTATTTACCAGAAGCTATTGATTATCTAAATAACTATCCCACACATTTTATTTGAGAGCTGGGGTCAAAAAAGTAGGGACTCGAACCAGTGAAAGCCATTGTTTTAGAGCGAGTCGAATCTAGACTATCTACAAAATATAAGTGTCCAGTTGAAAAAGATGAAATAAAATTAAAGAAAGGAGATACCGTCCGCTATCTATTTGCCAATGCGGAATGGGAAAGTAGAATAGAGAGTCAGAGGAGGCTACGGATCCCACTTTTTCGCCTTTTATTCATAAAATCTGAAAAGTGATTGTTATAAAGAATGAATCAGTTTTATATTATCTCAGGAGCGATGATGATGAATTTGCTCCATCACGCAGGTTTGTACGAGAAGAACTCATGTTAATAGCTGATTCAGCAAAGGTTAGACGTCCACCCCAAAGTATATTATCCATACATATTGCATATGTTTCTCCTATCAATAACAAGATAGCTCAGGCTGAAGAATATGCCAAGAAGCGTGGTGGTTAATGCCTTGGAAAAACCGGGCAAATAAATGGTTATAATATTTATCTTTGGTCTTGTGAGAATGGTGTGCATCAGTAAGAATATCCACTAAAATATATCATGAAAAAATTCAAATGGTGTCCGCTATGCCACCATAGAAGTGATGAGCACTGATGTTGATACATTTTTGAGGATCTGCTAAGCAAAAAATTCCCACTACGTAGGTCAAATTTTTTGGATAGACTACACTTGGATGGATATAATGAGCAATTGCGTCTTGCATTCGAATACCAGGGTCCTCAACACTATCACCACAATAACTTCTACCACCGGGATAATGAAAATCTAAAATCACAAAATATGCGTGATCAGAAGAAGCGAGATATATGCAAGGAACAAGGTATATGTCTTATTGAAGTACCTCATACAGCGGATTTATATCTGTATATTAGACATACTCTAATTGAGAAAGGGTTCTTGAATAGTTCTTCCAGTTAGGTCAGAGAGTATTATTTTCTTGGCATTTTTCTGAGACCATAGGTCCTGCAAATTCATAATATATTTTTTAGTATATCATTAGTAAAAGATAGTTCGATATGAAAATAAAGAAATTTGAGCTAGTTGAAAAGCTTGTATATCATATTAATGAAATTAAAGACGCTCAAAAATATAATGGCAATTCCAGTATACCTCAATGGCCTTTCACGCTTAGAATCTTTGGCCGTACTAATATGGAAAAAAGTAATGAGGTTATCAATCTCATGCTTAGAACTAAGCTTTATCGAATGCTTAATGGAAAAAAAGGAGGAACACACTATATTAAGTGTGATGATTTGCTACTCATCAGCCACCAACTTAAGGAGCCAAAATATATGTACCTCAAATCAGCATTCCAGATAATAGCAAATAGTCTAAAGTCATATTGTGAAGATATTACATTCTGGACTTTGAAGCCTGATAAAATCCCTAAGGTGGATTCATTTTCTCCAGATAGAGGTACAAGGGCTATATTCGAAAATATGTATGCTGACCCAAAAAAAGTGCGGGAGAAAATTGTTCCTTATTTTATTGAAGGACGTCATTACAACATCAGTTCGATATATGTATCCCAGAGTTACTTTGACTGCCCAAAGATAATACGAAAAAATCTCACACATGTCTGCCTATTTAATAGGTCGTGCATTGCAAACAAGTTTAGCAGAATCGTGTGTCAATATGCTAATGACTGACGTAGTGTAATTAAGATTATTGATAAGGCATTATGTGAACATAAATTCATTGTTTTTGATTTAACAGTACCTCGCGAACACCCACATAGGATATGTTTTGATTGGGACCAAATTCTCACTAATAAGAGAATTCGACTTCATAGATGCCAGCTCCCTCCAGCAGTTGCATCTTCAGATTTTTGATCTCATAACTCATTTTCTTATTTGCAGTAACCCGCTCTCTATAATCCTTTTCTATGTCTTCCATAAACTTCTCAAAAGTCCTCTTATTATAATCGACCAGATGTTGGGATAGTACTTTAAGCTCATTCATAACCCGGCGATTATTTTCTTCTTCATAATTATGCTTTAGTGCTTCTGGCCAAGTGCCATTTGTTTGGACTCCAATGTCAGTAATATATATAGCCGGTGATGTAGGGAATACATTACATTTTGGCCAGTTTTGTGGATGCAATAATTTTTCTTGGGCCATAGTTTTACGTTTCTTCTTATTTAACGAATTCTCATAAACCTCTAATGTGTGTCTCAAATAAGATTCAATTCATTCAGATTTTCTGGAAATAGATTCTAATGGAATAGGGTCTTTAGAATGGTGTAAGAGTCTCTCACACGCTCTCTTGACAAGACTTTCAGATAGTCTATCAATAATATACTTATAGTCAGAATAGAATATTATAATAGATATAGTTTTGCGTAAAAAAAGTTTGCACGCAAAATTCACCTATAGTAGTACTATTTTTACGCACTTATATCGTGGGTTGCGTCACATCTGGTAAGGGATCTATCAAATTATATGAATTTGATCCTTAACTAGTTGATGGTTTTTATTATGTGATACAAATAGTAAATTTTTTATCAATTCGTTCTGTATTTGCTTATCTTACAATTTCGCAATTCTGACCTTAAGTTCAGTATTCTCAGCTCTAATTTTATTATTTTCAACCTCAAGCTTGGCAGTATATTGTTTCAACGAATTGACAAATCTGGGATGATATATTTCAGATTGCATACTAGTGTAATGTAGTATTAGTATATTAATATTCAAAAGTAAAAAATCACGTGATATCCTGACTGATGGTCAGCAAGAAAAAATCTATTATCTGGTACACGAATATATATTTGTGAAATAGACCACTAGGCCAGTTTTATTATAATACAAAATAATAATAGTACATCTATAATCGAAGGCACTAAAGTTAAAGAATTATCTCATCTATAATTTTGCAATACTGGTCAGTGATATCCTGAAATCTGGCACTCATTCTCACATTTTTAAAGTCCCTGTCATGCCAAAAATGG